GGGGTGTATACGACCTAGTCGAAACCACTGAGGCAAGCAGCTCAGATCATAACTGAGGCTGGGTAGGCGTGTGCGCTGTTCGCACTGCCAGCACATGTGAGGCAAGCGACGACACATCCAGGTTATAAAACCTCACGAAAGTGCTGGGTGACGACCAGCCTGCCGCCATGCAAATGTCCTGAATAGATATGCCATTTGCCCAGGCCCACGAGGACGCGAGTCCGCGGGTTGAGTGGGCCCAAACCCCTATAGGACATTTCACGCCCTTAGAGCCATGATAAGCCAAAGCAAAAGTGTGACAGCCTTTCGCTCCTGCTCGCTGTCTTGAGAGAGAGTGCACGCAAGCACGCTGATTGTATGGGCTCGAACTGGCTTTTTTTTTTTTTGCTCTTGAGTTGGGGACCTGCAGGTGCTGTCAGTTGATGACTCGTGTATTGAGTTTGGGCCAGGTGATTGCAGACTCAACTTAAAGAGTGGATTACCCCGCCCCTCGACAGTAAATCCGCACCATAATTCAGGCGTCCGGGGACATGTACTGCCCGGATGGAGAGGAGGTGTCGATCTGCCCACAGAAGAATGTCTCTCGCCAGCCGCAGCAGCGGCCGCGAGCTCACGCCCCTTGGTGATTTAGCGGGCAGTGAGTGTTCTCCGCTGATGCGAAGAGATCCACCTCTACCCTGCCGAATACACTCCAAATCATATTGACTGTCAAAGGGTGTAATCTCCACTCCCCGTGGATTACCCCTCCCCTCGACAGTAAATCAGCGCCATAATTCAGGCGTCCGGGGACATGTACTGCCCGGATGGAGAGGGGGTGTCGATCTGCCCACAGAAGAAGGTCTCTCGCAAGCCGCAGCAGCGGCCGCGAGCTCACGCCCCCTTGGTGATTTATAAACACTTCCACTGTCATGCTGTCCGTCCTGATGAGAACGTGACAGTGGAGAATGTCTGGGAGAAAGCACTCAAGCGCTAGGTGTACAGCATGGAGCTCCAGACAGTTTATGTGCCACAACTTCTCTGTTTCTGACCACGTCCCGAAGTCATGGCTCCCCAGCCCGTGCTCGATGCATCTGTTGTAACAGTCTTTCTCCTGATCACTTGGCCAATAAGAACACCCCGGCGATACAGAGTCCAAGGGGTCAGCGCATCCCAGCAGTCGCGCATCACTTTGATGCGCAAGGTGCCCATGCGCCATGCGCTCTGTGGCACCCGGACCTTTAGCCAGAGCTGAAGCGGTCGCATATGTAGGAGCCCTATAGTTTGCACACTGTCGAGGTGGCAGCCATCTGGCCGGGCGTCCTCTGAAAGCATTTCAGCGGGGGAGAGTGCCCTAACTTGAACACTGCGAGAGAGCTGATAAGTTTTTGTGAGCACTCCTCTGACAGACACGCTCGCATATTGATTGAATTCAGCTCCTCTCCTAACAATGAGATGTTCTGGCTCGGTACCAGCATGCTCTTTTGCATATTCACAGTCAGCCCTAAACTCTGAAAATGAGCGAGGAGTCTGAGCTTGTCGGTGAGCAGCGCACTCTCTGATTGGGCTAAGACTAGCCAATGGTCGAGATAGTTCAGGATGCGCATTCCGCTCTGCTTCAGAGGAGATCTGATGTGTGAGAGGATTTGTCTCAGTGTAATCATTTTGAACTAGCGCTTAGAAAGCGCGCAATTCAGCAGTCTCAGGTCCAAGATTGGGCGGAGTCCGCCGTCTTTGGTACCAGAAAATAGCGACTGTAGAAACCGCTCTCGCAGTCTGCTAGGGGCACTCTCTCTACAGCGCGTTTTGCGAGGAGGTTGAGTATGTCCTCTCGCAGAACTGAGGCATTCCGCTCCCGTACAGTGGACATTAACACACCGTTGGAACAGGGCGGCCTGCGGAAGAACTGAAGCGTGTAGCCATTCTTTATTGATTTCATAACCCACTCTGATACCCCTGGCAGTGCCTGCCACGCTTCTGTGAACTGTGACAGCGGGTGAGGCAGACTGCACACCGTGAGGGATAATTTGCCGTTGGGGGGCGGGGAGTTTAATACCACACGAGTGTGAGAGTGAGTGATGGGGGAGAGGGGAGTGAGAGGAGGAGAATTGCTTTGATATTGAGGCCAAGGCTGTCTTGGTCTCACCGCCGGCTCATGTTCTCGCCGAACAGCAGCAGAAGAGGTGTGCGGTCTTCCCACGCGCTGCGCTGAGGAGGAGCGGGAACGCACAGGAGAGTTTGCGCCGGTGCGCTTTGGCAGGAAGTGGTTAATAGCCTTCGACTGTTTCTGCGCTTCAACGAAGCGCTCCGTGAACGTCTCTGAGGGATTCACGGGAGCGTCCAGAAGGGACGTTTTTTCCGAGTCCTTTAACTCGGTCAGAGTAAGCCACAGGTGACGATCTAGCACCACAAGATTCCCCATGTTGCGGCCGATCGTTCGAGCTGTCACCACCGTCGCTCTGAGGGCCTGATCCGTGGCGCGTCGGAGCTCTTTGAACACTTCAGGGTCCGGCCCGTCCTCATCCAGAGACTTGAGCAGCTTGGCCTAAAATGGCATCATCCTTCTCTTCAGCGCCCTCCATGGCACTGAAGGACACCACATCTTGAGCGATGGGGGAGGGGCGGAGAACAGCGGTCATGGAGCGCACTGGAAGGGGACCTGCAGCAGGGGGGTGAGGAGCGCGTGGGCACTGAGCCAGCGCGGGCTCGTCACCTGACCCTGACAGATCCGCATCAGAAGCTCGCAGCACTTTCCTCCTTGGCTCGAAAGAGGCTGCAGAGGAAGAGCGCGGCAGGGCTAGTTGGGCGAGTTCATTGCCTTGGACGATGGCCACACGGAGCTTGAGAGTCCGGAGGCTCATATCTCCGCAGTGGGGGCAGTCCGACCCCCCAAGTGTCGCCTCTGCGTGGGCGCGACCCAGGCAGAAGACGCACGACTTGTGGCCATCAGAGAGTTCGATTGGCTCTGCGCAGGAGAGGCAATCGTGAGTCATCCTTGTTTCCGAAGCTCACCGGAACACAGCAGGGGAAGAAACGGCATGTCTGCTGCAGCGTGTAGATCACGGTGAGTAGTCTTGTTGATAGGCTTCTTGCTTCTCGTAGAAGGTTGACTGAAGAAAAAGATTCTGAATAGATGACGTACAAGCGCTGCTTTATATAGAGTGGGAGCCCCTCATATTTCGCGCGTTTGAACGCCATTGGCCAGTTTCACTGGCGTGATTCAATAAGGCTTCAGTAGTATTTGGAGGAAAGGGTAATTCCCCATAGCAATGTAGAGTGACCAATCGAAAGGGAACATAGGCTATCCTTTTTATTATTTAAAAGATTAAAACACTAGGGGGGAAATATAGATCTCGGGATTAAACAAGCTAATTTTTTCTTGGGAATATAAAACTTACCCAACAACATATAGAGGATTAATTTCGCAAAATCATTCTCTGATAAAGGTTTGCTGCTTAATAATCATGAGCCAGAATTTCGGAAGGTTACAACATGACGTCATGAACTGCCTAATATTTATATTGTAAGCCATGCTATTGAAAGATTACAATGCAGCTTTTGTACATTACATAGCTACTACTTAATAGGGGTGCTCCGATTGATCGGCTACCGATCACTGTCGGCCGATAATCGCTTTGGGATGATTGATCGGCGGTCTCTAAAAAGGCCGATCTCAAAAAAACGATCTCAAGCTGATGAGAGTTTTGGCATGACATGCAGCGGCACGTCTCAGTCTCTGTCCAGTGCGGGTGAAATAATTATAATGCTAAAGGTGAGGTACTCACCTTCATATTTCTTCATTAAATAACTTATAAAGTATTTTGGAAAACTTTGAGTGAGACGTAATTTCACAAACAGCGTGAGTGAATCACCGCGCGCTCTCTTTCTTTCTTTCTCTCTCAAAATGCGCAAATCTTCAAATCACCACACATCGCGTCTGTCCATAAGCGAGCTACACGCTGCAGTTGACACAGGAATTGTCACTTGCACAATCGAGGCAGTGTCACATCGTCACTAAAGTTGATAAATTGCATTACTTGTTAATTCTTGCCAGTGTTTAACCATTCAGCGCTCGCGCGCTCTCCTGGAGATTGAGCGCTCATACACATACTCGCAGCGCACACATAATGCCAGGTGCACATTACTCCGTTTGCAGTGTGTAGAGCGTATTTTTTCCGCGCTCATGTTAACGGATTAAAACGTTCACACTGCACACGGTTACGGTCGGGCAGTGCGATCCAGGAGTGCGTCTGCAGCAGTGCAGAGATCGTTATTTTTGCTGCGCTGCACAAGGCAATAATAGATAGCACTCCTGGAGGTAGGAAAACAAAGTTCTTTATGAACCGCACGATTGCTTGTAATAAAGATTTAAATGCAAAAGGAAAGGCAGTAGAGCTGACTAGTTCTGTCAATGGTAGTGATAACGTAAGAAAAGTAGTTTAAATGTTTTGCCACTTGCTTGAGCAACTTATATAAATCTAGAAGTAAATGCAAAAGTAAAAAGCATTGAATAATGTGTTGCTTATATTTATTGTGTTTAAACATGTCTGTGAAAGA